TTTAAATATAAGTATCTAGGACATTTAATTAAGCGTGATCTCAGAGACGATGATGACATGGAGAGGGAGCGTAGAGCTTTGTCATTAAGGGCTAATATGTTGGTTCATAGGTTTGTTCGATGCTTTGCTCCAGCTAAGATAATTCTGCTTTTTACGCGAGTCGCCTGTGGTACCGACATACACAAAAGTCGTACACTGCTCTCCGTACCCGATACAACAATTCTTTTAGGATGCTATTGCGGCTGTTCTGTAGTGCGTCTGCAATGTTTGCGGAAGAACGGACAGACTCTTTTTCTGCCATACTACGGAAGAAAATGGCTTCTTTTAGACAGACTTCGTAACAGTAGCAACAGCATCATGAAAATGATTGCTGAGAAAGTGGAGGGACCTCTCATAAGGAACCTCATAGAATTTACGCGATCTTTGTTTAAAATAATTTACTAACATAGTTTATAAGTCAGTTATGATTTAAATATGGATTTACGTTATCCAAAAATAAATAAATTATATACATAAACAATTTCCTACTAACGAAATATATTTAAAATTAAAAAAGAATAAATAATTTCATATTTTTTATAAAAAGTTGTCTCATTTTGTTGTAGTTGCAGATAACTTTTAATTATATCTTACAATATTCTAACGATGGTTTTAATGACATATACAGAATCAGATTTTACGTTTTCAATAGTATAGTATATTTCCATATTGAATTTCATTGATTTGATTTACCACACTATAGCAATTATCAGTACATGTAGATTCATCCCACGTAACGCAATTTTTTAGAAGAAATTGTCAGGTCTTTATGCTCACGGTATAAGGATTGCTTTGTAAATTGAGGCAAGCATTGTTCGAGTCACTTTAAAGGTCTTTATGCTCAAACTGAACAATAATGTGCTGATTTTATAGTATTTGTAGTCGTTCAACCAACGCCATCTACACGTTTACGTGAGAACTGCAAAGTTCCGTTGGAAGCGAGTTTCTAGCCTGGCACTGGATTCAAACTGAAAGGTGTGATTTCATTTTGTTGTAAAAGTTTGAGTATGACTCAATAGATGTCGTTCTAAGTTTTACATTTGCTGCTTTTCTCGGTAAGTGAAATTGGAGTTTCGTTGTCATTGAGCACTACTGCTACTCCAATATACATCGATAAATTATACTTAAGCCGGGTTTTCACTACACGTTTACGGTCGGACAAAGTCCACTCGGATGACTGCTCGGACGCTACTTGTATCGGCATCCGAGCAGAGTGGACTCGGACGGGGTTCTATTTTTAAGACTATTCTTGGACCATTTTATAAAAACTAAATGGCTCCAACTAAGACAAAGTGGTGAAAATGATCGTGACACTATGAACCCTTGTTTATGATACCAAGTGCGCGTGGTGGTAAGTGACACGCTTATCCATAACAGTTGCAGTGCCACTCGAGTTTTAAATCACAAAGATCTTAGGGGCACTGCCACTGCTTCTGTCACCCTGAGACACTTACCCTTTAAAACCGTAAACGTGTAGATAATGTGTTTCTTGGTAGCAGAAATAGGGAAGTAGGTACTTAATCCTTTTGTTAAAGGTAGAAAATATAATTGCGGGTCGCGTCCCGGGGCATCGCCGCCAGGAGTCTTGCCACATTTTCCCTGTAGATAACTAGTGTCTATAAAGCCTATAAAAATCAACATCAGCTGTTGTGTCCAAAGCAGAAGCAGAAGAGAGTGTCTAGAAACCTTCTTCGAGATATCTTGAGTGAAATTGAACTCTTAAAATGTACAATCGAATTAAATTCTATTAGATATCTTACAGTATATATTTAGATATATATGTGATATCTATGTGATAAGTAAAAGTGGGCACAACTTTATTAGTATATCACAAGAGTGCTTTGAGAGATTATCTGTAGGCAGCGTTAAGAGTGATTGTTATCTTTTTTCTCAAGTAACCGTTAGAATGCTACAAGACCATTTGTAGAACTAGGTAGGATTTAGTCTTGTAGACAGTTTTTAGATAATTTATAGTCTATAATATTTGTAAAAAATAATTTAAAAAAATAAAAATAAAAATAACTAAAGCGTTATAAACGTAACACGCATTCTCTTAATACTAATAGATTTCAAGTTTAAGGGCTTACAAAATATAAACTATCAAAATTGCTACATGGCGAAATTAGATATAATATTTCTGACAGTTTCGCGCCGCGAATTGACATGCGACTTTAAATACATTGTGAAAAGTAATGAAAAACCTGTCATAAAACTAATGCGCTCGCTGTATTTTAAATATTTATATATAAATATAAACTTAATATAAATACAGTTATAGATCGTTGGTTATAAATATTTAGAGAAAGCTTGAATATACAAAATAACTCTCAAAACATACCATTTTCAAGAAGTTCTAGGCTTCTTCAAGCTAATTTCAACTTATATTTACTTTTTAAAAAGAAAATAAATTTTTCTCGGCTACATTATAGACATTCATTAAAAATAAAAGTGGCGATAGGAATTGAAAGCTTTTCTCAAAACACTGTTGGTAGCATTTTGTCTATAGCTTTATCTATAGAAAAACTTTAGACTACGAAAAAATTATTTTTACTTGCTTTAGTGTAGTTGATCTTGTAGAAAAATATTCACTTCTATGAAGCTTTTATAATTGTCTACAAAACGCGATGTCTCTAAGCGATTTTTTAACCGACTTAAAAAAAAGGAGGAGGTTTTCAATACGACTGTGTTTTTTTGTATGTATGTTACGCGATAACTCCGGTATTTGTGAACCGATTTTCATGATTCTTTTTTGTTGAAAAGAGGGTAAAGAGGGTACCTCCATAGTGGTCCCATTTAATTTTGAAGGAAATCATATACCTCTAAGGGTGGCTGTTCACGCATGTAGATTCATTTTTATAAATAGCGCCTAAATTTTGTTATAAGGAATCAATTATTTTAATCGTTGATTTTGCTATTCTCCAATTCAAGGCGTTTTTCTCTCTCAATATAGTTTGAGTAGTGAGAACCGATTTTCATTATCTCCTGTGTCAAGTCCCGTATAGTGGCGAACTAGGGGATGAATTCGGGTTTGCGCACTTTCCGGTAACCAATTTCAATAAGACTTGGTAATTACATGTAATTCCAAAGTTGCTGGAATGGCGAGCGTTTTATGCAATAAATAACCTTTCACATGTCACCTAAGGTCATAAAAAAATTGTTAAAATCCAATTGGTCGCAAAAATACATTATTCTGTATAATTTTATGGATTGTATTATATATGACTAGAAAGGTGAATAAATTCCCTATAAGACAATGTATATTTCAATGACATACCTAACTTATGTTGGAAGAATTAAATTTTCATTAGAAAATTGAGGTTATTTCTTCACGCCAACCACATTTCACATAATGATTTCACTATATTATATTGATAGACGGCACAATACACATACACAACATGGAAGTACAGTAGTTTACGCGCTCATTTCAATTGTTTTTATCACTTCCGAACGTGGAATTACTTCAAAAAGTTTATTTATTTGTCAACATATAAAAATGCATCATGCCCGCCTCGCGCGCGAATTACCGACAGATGATCGAATGATGATCGAATGATGTGACATAATATCCAAGGTTCACCACCTACACCAGAACTTTTAATATTCTTTACTTCATCCATTTTGCATGAACTCTTACAACGTCCAATAGAGTAAAAACCAATAATTATAGTTTTTTTTTAAATAACATCTACTGAAGACGCGCTGTAATGTGTTTGTCAATAAGTATAAACACTACAGAATGTCCATAAACGAAATATATCTAGAATAAACTTAGTTAGAGTATTGATAGATTTAACTGGACATGTATAGAACAATTTTACTAAAAATAATGAGTTGATCTTAAAATGAACTTAAAATAAGTACTATAAGAGTAAATCTTAAGAGGGATCACACTTAATTAAGTTGTTTTGGTATTAAGAAGGTTTTAACATTTTGACTTGAGTGAAATAAGTCTATAACCGCTCACGCGATACATGCAGCCGTAGACGCATACCACACCTAGAGGTGCCGGTGATGATTTTATACCGATTTATCGGATATCGAAGTTATAACAGGTAAAAGAACTAATATTAATTGCTATTTCGGTAACTACTCTAGCAAACCATAAAGTTTTTAATGCCTGGGTCTGTCAAAATAAACAACTTCAAAAATACGTCACGACAATCGTGTGAGTATTGTTTGGGCTGGTGATTTCGGTATTTATTTATTGAAAACATATCGTAAGTAGCGTTTTTCAAGTTTACCCTGAATATAAATGTTTATAAACTATACTTTAAGGAGTAATTTCATGGTAAACGTTAGAACCACTCAAACGGAATATTATCATATTTATCCAAGTACACCAAAAATTTCATTAGTGCTTTTTAAGTGCAGGATTTGCGTTGTATTACTGCATTTTATTTGAGATGTTTTTGTTGGTAGTACGGAGGGTATTTATTTAGCAATGCAGAATACTTAAACTGAATGCTTTTCTAATTTGCGAAACCAAATAGCCGCCATTTTGCGGTAGGAGGAGCGCATCGCGTGAGCATTTCTTTTTTCTAAAACCATTTATAGAAAACTATTATCTAAACCTATACCAAATTAAGACTGTTTATAGATATAATAGTTTTGAGGCGTATAAAGTGTGCTCCTTGGGTTGTTTGCACAACAAATTAAATTTATCTCCGTGAATATAAAAGCTAAATTTAGTACTGACTGTATATATTGTTACCTACCTTGAAGGAGTGAAATCCACCGGCGATGCATTTACTGACCACTTGACTCTAATGGGATTGTCTCCCATAGGTCGACAGGTTAATGTGACTGGCAGGCCCATCTTCGTCGTCAGATTCGTTCCCACTGAGTCGAAATGTACTGGCTCTAGAATTTTAATTAGAAATTAGTATGTTATATTTCCTAGCTTTTTAATGTCGCTGTCAGTAAAGTAACCCCCTTTATTTTATTTTTTTGAACATCCTTAGTGTAATAAGGTCACAACTGCAAAATTACAACATTGCAGAAGTTTAAAGATTCTACGAACGAAACTAGTCAACATTGTCATTGCGTACGTCGCCCTGAGACAAATTTCATAAGTGCCATGTATGCTTGTAGATCCACATTGCTATCTGGAGGCAGAAATAGGTATGGGCAGGGATCCGCCACTCGCTCACGGTTACGCGATAAGTGCCTACCACTGTGTGTATCGAACGGCGGCACAAGCGCTCATACAAGTCTTTCATTTATGAGCATTCGACTCCGCAAGACTGCACACGGCGGGCAACGTTATTTTCACCTCTCTCAGCGCGTACTTCTGCTCTTTTTTCCTCGTAGTGAGCACCTGGCGTCATTAGTCAAATTTAGTAGGCTATTATAGCATAGGTATATTCGATTTTGTATGAGAGTTATGTGTATGTTACGTAGTAACTTTTAAGTAATCTGTGGTATGGGTCACTACTTCCCTGGACGAACTCTTTCACAAAGAGCTCTACTGTTATTTAAATTGGATCTTGTGGCATGCCCTGTACCTAATAATCATTAACTCATACTCAACCAAAGAATCGCGTGGCACCGTTTACCTTTCAACAGTCAAATATGCATTAAATTTCAATACTAATTTACCATGACCTTGAAACTAGAATATTGTCATAGGTATGTAATGGTGGTGGTAATACTTCCTTGGACGAGCTCTTTCATAAGTAGTTCCATTGCTACTTGCATTATGTCTAGAATTAGTTATCGACCGAAAATGTACTACCTATCACGAAAGGCACGTTAATTTTGTCAAATATAAGCTGTTTCCAATTTTATCAAGCGCTACTTACTATTCACACTAATCCACAAATTTTTGCTCAAAGGTTCTCCAATTCCATTCTCAACGTTGCAAGCATACATTCCTTCATCAGACAGTGAAACTACTTCTATCACGAGGGTCCCGTTTGGGTAGCTCATGATGCCACCCCCAGCGAGGTCGAGTACCGGTCGCCAGATACCTAGAGTCGCTGGAACCAGATAAATTAATAATATATATATCGTTCTAGGACCAAAACGAATGCACATAAGCGAAAGTTGCAGCGTGAAAGAAGATGTAGTGGCCAAGACATGGAAAGGGATGTTTAGATGGTTCTAACACATGGAGAGAATGAATGAAGAAAATTGACGAAGCAGATTTATCGGGTTTGTGTGAGTTGTTGGCGAGGGCCAACCAAGGCAAACTTACCACGAGCAAATAAAGGCTATTCTAAAGAAAGGGGTCAATGTACCTTTAACCAACGATCGAGTATGAAAACACTGATACGTGTCTATGAGGCGAAAATATATGTCAGGGCGTAGCAAGTGGAAGGCACCAGTCTCTAATTTAATTTGAAATTTGGACTTGAAAGAAATTTATCCATTTTAAGTGATACTTACCATCTCTCTTCATCCAATGGATCTGAGGCGAAGGATATCCATTAGCGTTGCAGTATACCATACCACGCTGTCCCAAAAGCAACGATGTATTTGTCGGTTCTTCTACCCATTTAGGAGCCACTGTAAATATATAATAAAACTATAATATGAAAAGCTGTTTCATAATACCACGCGTGTTAGTAATTATCACTGACCAGTCATTTAACTTTCAACCACTTTTTCGAGGGTCCTCCAACAAGAAATATATTCGTATTAAGAAAATGTTAATATGTAAATAACGCATACACTTCATAGCCCCGCACTAGGAAAACCCTGTATCGTGTTTCATAAACCGTTTTATACCTCAAAATATTAGAATAAAAATTAGAGGTAAACAACAATTTAAGAAATAAAGGGAAACCTTCCTCCGAAATTCTGTTCGAATTTTCATTCTTTTTTTAAAGATATCAAGAGACGGCAAAAACGAGTTGTAAGGGTGGTAGTAAGCGAATAAGTAAGAAGTTCAAACACAATTTTTCCAAGTCAGTTGTTATAACAGTCCCATTAAGCTTGTCAAGGCAATATTACCGCACCTATTTATTACAACTTTTATATACCACCGACACAAAATACAATTCAACTTTAAGCCAACAGCAAGTATTAAGAGGCAATAAGGAACACGCAACATGTTGTTTTACGTATTATTGTTTCTCAACAACGAGTATTTATTGTTTCAAGCAACGCTTTCTGACGATATACGATCGGTAGATGGCAGAATGGATCGATGAAACATATTAGCGTTATTGATATGGCCACCGTAAAATGATATTACACAGAGTGTCCCACAGACGTGGGACACTTAGGGAAAGCACTTTAAAAAAAGGATATTTTGCTATAAAGAGACATTATTTTATTTTTTTAAATGATTAATACTGCATTCAAAGACTTAAAAAAAACAGTATTTGTATTTTGGCGATCGAAAGTGTCAATTATGAGGGTTAATTTCTTTAAGGTAACATAAGTATCTTAAGGGAACACCATGAAATTTTATATTTAAGTTTAGGAAAAAGAATTATAATACGTTTTACTGTCGGTACTATATTTCGAGATAGGGCTCCGGCTCGTAACAGTTGGAGAAAACCGAGTTATTTAATAAATGTTATCCTTCATGGATCAGTTTTGCTGAAATGCACATGGGACTTGTCAAATTATGCAGTGACCCTCAGGTCTTTGCGATTTAAATCTCTGAGTGGCGCTGCAACTGTAATGGATAGGCGTGTCACTTGATATATAAAAAATCGGTCTACAATTTTTAAAATACTTTCCCTCCGTATCCCAACCCCCGTGTACCAACGTGGGACAACCTGTATTACATTCTAATGATTTATAAGGTCAACTTACCATTGATATAAAGATCAGCAGTCTGGTTCACTTTGCCTACGTGGTTAGTCGCAATACAGATGTATTTTCCGCAGTGTTCCAATGATACTCTCTTTATTATCAGCACGCTGAATAACTCCGAACTCCTTTCAGTTATCTGCAATTTAGAATAAGTACGTACATAATTGAGTTAAGTGGGATAACGATCTCCATGTACGGGCTCAACACCCCTCTGGAGAGATGTTTTTAGTAGATGATATGATTTCACATGTTTCGAGTTTTAGCTGAGTTTGCCTTTTTAGAGTCATAAATGTCATTCTGGGTCCTTCGTTTTCTTTTATGATGATTAGAAAAGTTTTGTGATAAAAGGTAAAAGTTTATTTCGTAATCTTGTAGAAGATTCCGTATGTTCTGTATGTTCCATATTTTTTGTAGGATACGATATTTAAAATCCAATCTTTACCCTCAAATTAGCGGGAATTTTCTTTCCATCTTTCAGCCAAGAAAAGTAAATTGGAGGATCTCCACTTATAATGTTGCATGTGATTTGAACAATTTGTCCCTCTTTTAATCCTGATCCAACTCGTAGCTCATCTAGTTCTGGTGCTTCTACTACTTGAATTTCGAAGGATCTGGAAATATATATTTTTTTGAAATCATTATTCAACAACAACATATTCAGAGTTATCTTGAGGCTTCATTGCTTTTGCAGTGCCTTTGGTATATTTGCGGGTGCGTGTGTAGATGATTTTTACGTAATTATTCGCAAAAATAATGCGTCACAGATGACGTGGTAGCACCAATCATATTACGAGGATGATGTAGATTCACCGTGTTAGACATTGACATTCTATTAGAGTAAAATAAAATAATAAGGTAATTTAACTTATTATAATTATTTTCCTTGTTTCTACAAACTTAGCGCATTAGATTACTGTTACTAACAAATATGGACGAATTGGTTTGGTAATAAATGAATTTGAAGTTATTCATATTACTGAACAAAGCTACAAAGATTCATGTCCACAAAACAGTGACTAGGCCAACATTAATGTATGAGTGTAAAACGTGGACACTAACGCTGAAGGAAGAACATAACTTTATTAGTGGCAGAATGAAATATATTTCGAAAGATTCTGGGACCAATCAAAGGAGAATTTGGGAACTAGAGGGCCAGATTCAATAGACAAATCGAAGAGCTAGTATCTGAGTAAAACATAATCGGGGAAGTAAAATCCGCCCAACTTTGCTGATTGGGGCGTATGGAAAGAATTGGAGGCCAACGAGCTGCCAAAAGAGAGATTTAGAGCGACCTACGAGGCATTGTCCAGTGAGGCGTTCGAGATATCGCCTAAGACCTGAGAAAACTGAACGGTCGGAAGTGTAACAAGACCGTAAGTAATGGCGTACTTTGGTGTCAGAGGTCAAGGTCCACTTCGGCTCGCTGAACCAATGAAATAAGTAATTTGAAATTATTGCAACGTTTTGAGAGTTCATTATTCGGGTACTCATATTGACAATGAATTCGCTGATATAGGAGGGAGATTTTTAAATGAAATTGCAGTATAAGGGCATTATCAAAGAAACTGTACAAAATATTGAAGAGTAAATTTTCTTAGTACCGTTTTTGGAATTGGCTTGTGGCTGCGAAAGTTTTTTATAATTATTATCAACCTTTTGAACAATCTATATAAAATGTACATCTATCTTACCGTCTAGCCATTTCACCGGAAGGACTATAAACATTGCAAGTATAAGTATCTCCATTTTCTTCCTTCATAACTCTAGGTATGTCTAAAACTCCATCTGTACCAGCTTCAAAGATTTGTCTTTTCTTACGTTTTCTCTTTTTCAACAATGTGTTTGTATTCATTCGTTTGTAGCGTGCGTGTTGGGGTAAAGTAGAGCTGATGATTTTCCGACCTTTGTGCTCCCATTCTAATTTGCTGGAATGAATAATAGAAAAGTCTTATAAAAAAATAGATTGTTTTCATATCACAAATCCTATTGAGTGTCCTTTCGGTGTGGCATCGATGCCAGACTTTAACGAAAAGATGAGTGTTGCCTAAACATTTAATAAATTTATTTACATTCAGGAATAATTTACATACTTCTAAGTTTTCCTTATCCTCTTTCCTTATAATAAAATGACGTAATTCAAAAGCATCAATTTCCGGAAAAATAGGCAAAATAGATTTAAGAAACGTAAAAAATAAGTATGCTATTTAACTAATAGGTTTAGGCGTTACTTTACAGAAATCCATGTTAATAAAAATGGAGGAGGAGTTCGGCTGTATATATTTTTATGTATATTTCAGATATCTCCGTCAATTGTAGACCGATTTTGAAAATTCTTTTTTGTTTGAAAGGGTGCACTCTCGTGGTGATTCCATTGTCGCCTAGTCGGAACCTGATGCGGGGATCCCATAAAAATCGGAGAAAATCATTAAATTTTATAGGCATGTCCGTGTATTCACTAATTCCATCCATCAATTGTGCACCGATTTTGAAATTTTTTTTTGTTCGAAAAGGTATACTCCCGAGATGTTTCCTGATGCTGTTCCAGATTCGTTTCGGCTATCACAAATTACTAATTATTTTCCGCAAATAGAAGTCGACTTTTCACTTGACACAATACATGTAATCGACAAATCGAAATCAAATAAAGGAGTCCGTAAAAGTCCCATTGTCACCAAGAAGCTTCTAAGAAGTCAAAATCTAATGAGGGGATCCCACGGAAATCGAAAAAAACAAACTTTTGAAGTTGGTTTCTTTTTCAATGAAAAACTTACAATTATAATTTACTTATTAACTTGTAGTGACACCAGTCATACAACATAGAAGCATACATCCTTCGCGCATAGCTCGTTGGTTCATACTGAACGACACGGGGTAGCTGCATGACGGATGTATGTGAGTCTGGAGGCGCGCACGTAAATACCACGTAATAGAGTTCAGGGTTCTCGGCAGTTTTAAGTGTGCCAGTTAGGTGAACACACATGAGATACGCCTTGTAGTGAGGCGCCGATCACCTCAATAACAATAATTCTTATCGATAATTTAGAAATTATCAGCACTAAACTATATTACTGTCGGTTTGCGATGTCAAATCCACTTTGTTATTGAGAGTGGTATGGTTACCGTTCTGCCTTTGAGTAATTTATGATAAGTGCGTTATTTTGTATGAATAGTTGAAGTCATCTAATTCCTTAAATTACTTTGCTTCTTACCGTTGATAGTTCATTATGGCCTACCTCAAAATCTGCAACTATGGTTTTCATATACATTAGTGTACTATCCCTAAAACTAACCTGATTGGATATCCATAATATGGACAACGAAGTTTTAGAGGTTCCCCACTTTGCACTTTGATTGGTGGCAGCGATCTTATGTATGGTGGACCTGAAAATATTTATAAGAAATTTGATTTAGAGTTAGCTAACAACCGTTGTACCTATTTAATTTTCGTTACGTTTTCTATCAGAAGTTAGCAACAATCACAGCAAGGCAATGTGAAAGTTTGATTCGTCGTCGACGGTTTGAATGATTTTAAATACTGTGATATAGAAACATTGTCTTGTTGTTTTGCGTACATGTAAAGTTACTCATTTTAGCTATGTGCTTTGCCACGAGTGCTTTGAGACGAGGATTGAAATTTCTATGGCGCATTTTCGGTGGAAATGGTCTGGGTTGACGAGTATGGGCGAGGTGAGTATTTCAATATTTGTTGATGTAATATTGAACCGTTTTGCTGCCCACATAGAGTATTATACTCTGCAACGGAAACATGATTTCTCGCGCGAGCTCGGGATTGCCCGCACAATCTCGTGCGAGTTTGCGATGTCTATTATTGTCAATCGCGAGATTGTAGGGTATGTACGATTTCACACCTAAAAAAGGTGACTTCATCTGATTCTTCCGTTGACAAATTTAATAAATAATAATTTACGGGACATGTTACTTCTGCCGCGTGTTGTTTGCTAGACGAACTGAACAGCACTGAATCGTCACTATCCATAACCACAGCGCGAGCTCGCGCGAGGTCGCGATATCTCGCACGAGCTCGCGAGAGCTATTAATGCAATTTTTTGGTAAAAATAGGCCGGCGAGATTTTAATTCTCGTCTCGCCTCATCTCGTGTCCACTTGGCGGTCAAAAATCACCCTCAGACTAGACCAGATCTACTTAACCTGATAAAAAAGACAATTTTAATGTTCATCAAAGTAGAAATTATAATAAATCAATGAAATTTGTATTGAACTGATATTCAATTATGTTTCGGGAAATTACCTACTCCACTAATTTGTTATAATTTATTATTAAAAAGATCGAACACTTAGAAAAAACTCCTTCGATCCAGCCGGATTCGGACCGACGTCTTCTAGCAAACCGTGTCAGACGCTATGCCAACTAAGCCACGGAACAAACCACAGGACCTCAGGAATTTTCCTATGTGCTTGTTGTCGGATCGTTGTATTTTGGTTTCAACGACTTTTTAGCCGTAACGTCATCTATAAGAAATCTATGAAAGTATTTCGTCGCCCAGTTAGGTAACTTTACAGCTACCAACCCTGGCTAGACATGTCGCTATTAACTGTAATTAAATTTGTATTGAATTCAATATTTGATATTCAATTATTTTTTGTGTTAATTACAATAAATCTATTTAAAAATGTCGCACCGTAAATATCCAATCTGGCAACGTGTGAAGCACTCTGGTCACCCTCCAGAGCGATGCACGAGTACAGTCCTCCATCTTCGACTCTCGTCCGTGTTATATTCAGATGGGATATAACTCCAACGCCTGTTGGAGACATCATTTGACCAAGAGTGTACCTGTAGATTTTGATACAAAAGTTGCTGGTTAGGTAAAAGTAACTGATCTTGGTAGAACACTATGAATTGATACTCGATTTATTATGAAAGCAATCCGTAGGTAAAAAGAAGATTACTTCTTCATGATGATGAAAATGATATAAAATCTTAAAAACAAAAAAGTACGAAAACTGTGCTAGCTGTGAACTAAAGTATTCGATGGAAAAGATGGTAATTATATTACAAATACAATAACTAAATAAATATTGAACATTGTGCTGTTCCCAAAACTAATGTAAGTAACTACAGCAATTGTGTTGTGGAAATCGGAAACAACAAGGTTACCACAAACAGTTTTAGTTTTCTACATTGATTCAGCCGGGGATGTATTTTTGTGACGGGACGAACAAGTCGTGCGCCTGGTAGTAAGCGACACTCCTATCCATAACAGTTGCAGTGACACTAAGAGCTTTGAATCGCAAAGATCCAGCATTGCCACTGTATCCGCCACCCTGTGACATTAGTTGACAAGTTCCATGTGCTTGTTGCGCATGAGCAATTTCACCAGTATCTTTATCCTTTCAAACCGGAACGCAGTAATGCTCACATTTGCTGAACGAACTTCTACTAAATCCGGGACCTCAGAGATGGCGACTGATATCGTCTACAATGATAATATATACACCTATAGTTTTGTCATTTTTACCTATCGAGAACATTTTACCTTTGATCTGTGTTAGAAGATATCACCACACCGTCTCGTTCCCATATAAATCTAGGAGGTCTATCCGCTGTAGCTGCACATTGGAGGCTGACCTGAGAAATTGAAATCTTATGTTTTATGGCTGATATTTATTTGTCTTTATTTATTTGTGTTTATATTTCTTTTTTCCGAGAAATCACTTTTGTTTTTGCAGCATTACTAAAGAAACAGCGATGTACTTTTCAAATTGAGATGGGCTTATGTTAGCGACCAGCGAAATAAGGTAAAGAAAGTCCTATGACGCTTTCATTGCTGTAAGTCGGTCTTTCACTTGTAATATTTGTGATATATTGGAAATGATACCATATTTTTCGGACACTAAGCGCATATTTTTAATTTTTCAAACAAACCAACGTTTGGAAACGGGAATAAAGGCATTAGAAAGATAATATGACGTTAATATAATGCCATGTTTGTTTTTTTACTTATTTATTTCTCCACAGAAATATATAACAAAATTAAGTCCGGGGTAGTAAGTACTCAGAACATCCATACCAGAATCAATTTAAAACATTCGTTTCCCAAGTGGAATCGAACCCGGAAGTTTTTCATCTGGCGTTCGCAATAATAACCGCTAGGCCACGAACGTAGGTCACGCTACAAACGAATGAATACAAACAGATGGAGTCTTGGACATACCAAGAGTTATGAAGGAAGGAAATGGAGATACTTATACTTGCAATGTTTATATTTTCCTTCCAGCGAAATGGCAAGACGTAAAATGTACATTTTGTACAATTTTTTTTTTATTTTTATTAAAAAATGGAACCGACTTTAAACTTTGCTAATATGCATATACAAACGGAAACTAAACAGTTAACTATCGGTTACCGGATAATGCGCGAAACCAGTTTCATCCCCCACTTTGCCACCCTTAGAGGTGGAATATTCTATCTCAAATTAATAGAACCAACACGAGATACCCTCTTTCCAAAAAAAAAAAGAATCATCAATCAATCAGTAATCGCGTAATGTACACACATAAAAAATAGATGAGAACCGACTACTTTTTTTAAAGTCGGTTAAAAAATCAAAATCGGTTTTTGTTCCGGAAGTAAGTCGTACAGTCGACACCTTCCTGAGCGGGCCTTTAGAAAGTCTATTTCAGTTTTTATTCTTTCTCAATAACAAAAATTTGAATGTAATAACAAACCGTAGGTGTACGAGGACAAATTTTACAAAGAGCACATTGGAAATATGTACTATTGTCAATTATAGTGTGTACTTGAAATTTAAATATCTGCTTTCGTGACCGAACGATTGCCATGCTGAACTGTCCCGCAGAGATCCCGAGTTCGATTTCCGGGCCTGGAGAAATGTTTGTATGGCCTACATTTATTTCTCTCACGAGTTTAGGTGTCATTTGTGGTTGTCAATGTGCGTGTCTATAACATTCGCGATACAGGGCTTCACTAGCGCAGGGTTATGAGTGTGTGCGCTAAAAGAAAATTGAATGCCAAGTGTCTCCTGATCCATAACCCAATAATGTTATGGTTATGTGCACTTTACATGGTTTTTTTTCTTCAGACAAGGAGACGATCTTGAAGTCAAGAACTTCGTGGTTGAATACCCCCGGGGGTACTACCATTAGTCTCATTTTCAACGAAGATAATCGACAGTGGTACTTACATCTTCCCCCGGCGTAATAATTTTCTCATTGAAGTGCTGAGTAATCAGTATATGACCAGATCCAAGATCTCTTCTGAGTCTATCCACTTTCGTTGCTGTAAAAAGACAAGAAAAATTTGTAAAGGAGTGCGTGTGTGTCGTATTTGTACGATGTTGTTTTTTATATTACCTATAGAACTGTAAACAGATCCTTTTCTTCTTATCTTCCTGTGTGTGATTGGTCTGAAAGAAAAAAAAGTTAGTTAGTCACTGTGGAACAGTTATTTGATATTCAAGACTAATTAATCATTTTTGTTTGACATGAAGTTGTAGTTAAATTCGAGTGGTACTCTTTTTTTTGTATGACACCTAGTGACGGGACGAACACGTCATGCGTCTGGTGGTAAGTGACATGCTTGTCGATAGCAGTTGCAGTGTCACTGCTCCGAACTTTAAATCGCAAAGATCTGTAGGGCACTACCACTGCGTCACCCTGAGATATAAGTTGATAAATGTCGTCTGCCTGTAATTTCACCAGCACCTCAAAGCCGAAATGCATTAATGCTCACATTACTGCTTAGCGGCAAAAATAGGTTAGGTGGCAGTACTTCCTTGGACGAACTCTGTCACAAGAACTTCTATCTCTTTCACAAACAAATCCTAGAATTTTATGATCCAGATACTACCGTTGGTTTCACGCAGGGTAGTCACTCGGTATAAATGATAACATGTGTGCACTATAAGCTGTTGTGGAGCGCATTATGCGCCCTCATGCGTCTCCCGGCCGTTACATTAATCTCTGCCTCGTATAGAGCTGAGTGTCCTTTACAGGAAGTACCGCAAAATGCAAAGAGACTGTGACTAGATAAGGAATCATACTTCGTGGTTAATATTTTCATTCAAATAATAATGCTACAAATTTAATATAATAAGACAAGTAGTGCAACTTCCACTTATTCGGTGCGTAGGGTTGTCACATTGTCGTTTTGGTTTTTAAATAATATCAAGTGAAGGGGCGAACAAGTCGTGCGTCTGATGGTAAGCTACACGCCTATCCGTAACAGTTGCAGTGCCACTCAGAGCTTTAAATCGCACAGATCTGAGGGGCACTGCCACTGCGCCTGTCATCCTGAGACATAAGTTGACAAGTCTCATGTGCCTGTAATTTCACCAGCACTTTCAAAACCTAAAATTACTGCTTGGCGGCAGAAATAGATAAGGTGGCAGTACTTTCCTGGACGAGCTCTATCACAAAGAGCTCTACTGCTACTAGTTGTAACTACAGTAGGGCTAGCACAACAAAGTGCGACTTGCGCGAAAGCGACATAAAGCGCGACATACTGCTATTCTCCCATAGAGAATAACAATATCTCGCGAGTCTATGTCGCTATCGCGCATGTTGAGCTCTGTCGTGCTAGCCCTACTGGTTGCATACTGCATTTTGAAATATGACTGTATTAGGCTGGGACTTATCAGGACGTTTTAATTCTATAATGAATGGTATGTGCAACCCACGCTATGTAACGCGGATGCACCGCGAGATTATACGAACGTGTGCGTCCATATAGGGCGCGCGGCAAATGTGTTACAGTTACAATAGAGGGGGAAAGAAAGAGAGGAATACCGAGAATAGCATACAGTGAGCAAAAAAAGAAACTTTCCGTTTTCGTGGCCGAACAATCATACTCGTCGGCGGTCATGCACACATACAAAACCGCGCTGCTACGTTTAAAGTTACACTACTTGTTTTTATTGGTACTATACTAAAAATAAGTAACGTAATAATTGTAATAAACATTAAAACTCGTTCATGGTTTATGCATTTTATTACGGTCTTTTGCAGTTTACGATAAGCGAGAAGGGTCAAGGGTAAGTTATTTGATATAACTTAACTACCTTTTTTGTATTATGTACGCTGCAAGCAAGCAGTCGGCCCGCTTGATGGACAGCGGTAACCGTCGCTTATGAAAGTCTGTACCACTAGGGTTGTCACGAGCGCGTTACCAACCCTCTATGGCCCTTCTAAAACCCCTTTTAAAGGACTCCATGCTGTTTTCCTGCGGAAAAACCCCGTTCCAAAACCTAATTGTACGTGAGAGGAAGCTCCTTTGAAACCCTTTGTTTTTTTTTTTGACGGAGGGAAATTTTTATAGATAATCCTGAGCACAGGGAGACGCAGAAATTATGTGGGGACTCTCCCTCTAAACTGATGGGCCTGCCCCACTAAACCCTACGAGATAGACTCGGTTCCAGAGTGTGAGGAGTCCCTGCCGGTGGCGAGCGGTGCGATGATAAAATGTTGCTGTTGGCATCGTGTCAAATAGTTCTTCCTCCTTGGCTACCACCTACTACTAATATTACCTACCTTCGTGGCCTAGTGGTTATCATTACGAACGCTAGACGATAAAGTTTTGGGTTCAATTTCATTTGGAAAACGAACGTTTTAAATTGATTCTGATCTGGATGTTCTGGGTACTGGGGACCTAATTTTGTTCCTCCAGATGATTGGTATGGTCACGTCTTCGTCAGTCGTTTGAGGTCATGCGATAAGTGCCTACCGCTAAGTGTATCGCCCACAGTGCAAACTTGTACAACCCCAGCATTCGGTTCCGCATGACTGCATACGACCGGCAAAGTCATTTTCACCTCTTTGTGCGCATGCTTAGATCTTTTTTCCTCGTAGTGAACGCCTGATTTCATTAGTCAGATTTAGTTGGCTATTATAACGTAGGTATTTTCGATTTTGTGCGAGACTTACGTATCTGTTACTTAGTAACTATTAAGTAATCTGTAGTAAGGTTATCTGGCACAATAACTTCATTAAGTATTATAACTTTGGTAGATAACCAAAGTTTGATGTTAAAATTAGATCCACCTTTCCAAGTTCTCATTCCAATAACATTTTCTCAGAGCTACGGTTAAATGTATGCATAGTTAACCGATGTTAAACTTCGTTGTTTGCCCACGAGATGGGGAATATAATGAGTTTGCCGTTTGTTTAGCAGTTAATTAAGTTTAATTTAACCTCCGTTACCGCTATGATGTAACATTAAATGTTGTATCAAAATACGATTAAATAATTATGATAAATATGCAGTTTCATTATGTTTTGAATCTTAAGGCATCTTAACTACCGTAAATACAAGGGCGGTGGTAGCTCAGTGGAAGAATGGTTGCTTCTCAATTGAAAGGTCGATGGTTCGAATCCCTATGACTATAAGAGATACCTTACCCCCTTACGGTCTTTTCTTATAAGCCTGAAGGTAAGCTACACGCCTGTCCATAACAGTTGCAGTGCCACTCAGAGCGTTAAATCGCAAAGATCTGAGGGGCACTGCCACTGCGCCCGCCACCCTGACACATAAGTTGACAAGTCCCATGTGTCTGTAATTTCACCAGCACCCTTACCCTTCAAAACAAAGAAACTCCAAATTTCCAACAAGGATTGAAAACTCGTTTAGTATACTAGTTTCAAACATTGTTTAAGTTTAGGACATTTAATACTAAAAATGCGAGGTGGCTCGAATTATGTGTCCGGAAGTGTATATATGTAAGTTTATTATGTATGTATAATAAGTATGTTTATATTATGTTATTTATTTATACCATATAAATTATCGATTAGCTTTCTAGTATATTGTTCTTCTTGTTTAAGTGTAGCACCAACCCATTGTGTTTTTTTTCTGTTTGGCCCAAATGTTGACTGGTAGAGAATGCCTCATGGCATTAAGTCCGCCATTTGTACTTCAGTGTATTGTACAATAAAGCTAAATAAATAGATAAATGAATAAGTAAATTATGTCACTTGCAGTAAATTTATTAAAGCCTCGATATGAACGTTGTACTTTTTGCAGTACAGACAGCGTTCGGTCCTTATTGGTGTTACTTTAAATGACGGAGAAGGTCCGAGGGCGTTGTGGTATAAAAGAGTGTACATATCGTTACACCTGTCTCCAACTGGGATAGGCAGAGATCATGAACACATGCTATGCTCCAGACCTATTTTACCATCTCTTTTCGCATCAGTCTCGTCATACATTCCTATTTATATTTGTTAGTTTCGACTTGGCCCTTTTCAAAGATATCTCCAATCTTATATAGATAAGAAGATGATATAATGGCGAGAAAATAAAAGGTAATATGGTTTAATAGTGTAGGGAGAATGGATCAAATTTATAGGGCGACTGTGGAAAGAAACGTGGGAAAGGTCGGCCTTGATATACGTTCTCAGGCAGAATAAAGATGCCCTCAAAAAAGCCAAATCCAATGTATCAAGAATAACATACAGTGGAAGGCGGAAGTCGTAAGTCAGAATGGTCTCTCTATTTCTGTCGCCAAGTAGTACTTTTTTTATAAGTTTTATAAGTAAGGCATAAGTTGACAAGTCCCAAGAGCCTGCAACTTCACCAGCACCCTTTAACCTTCAAAACCGGAACACAGAACACAAAGCCGTCTAATAGATATAGAAAATTTTACTGAAATAAGACTTAATTTTGATTTTAAAAACAATTCGAACTTCATTCAAAGGTTTTTAAATTCAAATTTAAATATTAAAGAATCGAAACCGTCAAATGCGAAAAAGAAACATTTACTATACTGATTATTTAAAAATTTTTGAATGCAGTTTGAATTGTTTTTAAAATCAATAATCTCAGTAGTACAACCAACCTCAAAAGTACGTGGAACATCTATTTGCCAAGTTTTTTTTAAATCGGTTACCGGAAAGTGCGCAAACCCGAATTCATCTCCTAGTTTGCCAGTAACGGAACTTGACACAGGAGATAATAAAAATCGGTTCTCACTACTTAAAGTTTATTGAGAGAAAAACGCCTTCAATAAGAGAATAGCAACTCAACTATTAAAATATTTGCTACTTACAATAAAATTTAGGCGCTATTACTAAAAATGAATCTTGATGCGTGACAAGAAACTCTTAGAGGTGGATGATTTTCTTCAAAATTAAATGGAACGACCACTATGGAGGTACCCTCTTTCCAACAAAACAGAATCATGAAAATCGGCGCACAAATATCGGAGTTATCGCGTAACATACATACAAATAAACAACTACAGTCGAATTAAGAACCTCCTCCTTTTTTTGAAGTCGGTTTAAAAGTGGTGTTCTTTCGGTAAAATTTTCTACCTACGGTATTTATGGTACTATCGCTCCGTGTGGCATAGTCATGGGACAACCTGTATAGTCGATATAACAAACTTATGGTATACTACCAGCTATTAAATGTTAGTGATTTTTGAAAAACCATTCTTAGGTGAATTTGACCTTAATATATTTGACATTATTGACTACACACACATTATACACAGATATTGTGTATAATGTGTGTGCAGCTAACTAGGCTATGGCTAGGAATGGAGTTCACTCAGGGCCATGTACTTCCGTTCCGATGTTGGATGGAAAACGGGAGCATAAAGTACCCAGACCAGAAACAATTTAGAAAAGATCATTTTCTAAATTGGTCTTACCGGGAATCCAATTCGAGACATCCTCATCTAGCACCCACATTATATACCGCTGGATCGTCGGGATTGTGACAAAAACAGATTTTGCTCAGTAACTGTTTTCATTAACGTGGTAGGAGATGAATTTTTTTATCTTGTATTTATTTTATTTTCTTTAAAATAATTTTCTCACAAAATCATTATAATCGAAAATTTGAATGTCAATCAGTAAGCAATTTATTATACGAAAAGAAAATGTTGGTGATTACGTGTAATCATTTTCTTGGCAAATTCAATAATAAAGGGCAATGGGAAAATATAAGGAAAGGTTTTGATGTATAAAAATTGTTACGCACGTACGTGGCCGTAGCACCGTAATAAATAATATAAATACAAACAATATTTGTTATGGTAGCTCACTTTCAACGCGTAACCATTTCCATGCTACTTGTGCGTAATTTTTCTGAGAAATAAGTTAGTTTTGCGTAATTATTCCAACATATTAGCTTAGTGTACGTAATCTTTCCAAGATATGAGCTTGTAGTGACTCTTTTGACGCTGGATAGCTGTATGTGACTGACAGATTGAAGGTTCGTGTTCGTTTTAGATAATTATGACTGACAGGTGATTACTCTCATTGTTCAAGCTCTAGTGTTGCCTGTGATTGACTGCCTCCGTGGCCGAACGGTTACCATGCCGGACTGCCACGCAGAGGTCCCAGGTTCGATTCCCGGGCCGGGAGAAATATTTATATATAGGCCATAGCCTACATTTATTGCTCTCGTGAGTTTGGGTGTAATTTGTGGTTGTCTATGTGTGTGTCCATAGCACCCGCGACACAGGGTTTCCCTAGTGTGGGGCTATGTTGAGTGTGCGTTATTATTATTATTATTATTATTATTCTGACGTGTGTTACAGTAACATCTGTCAAGTGTCTTTGAACAGATTAGATCATCTTCTTAACAACTGTATTAGGTTTATTTTTGGTCTGCGGAAGTATGTCCACATCTCTGCTTTTCGTCGTCAACTAAATTGGCTTCCCATCCGTGAACGCAGGTCCTTAAGAATTTTAACCACTCTTTTCTCCATCTTGTTCGACCCGGCTGCACTTGATTATCTTAAATGTTCATTTCAATTTCAAACCGTTCGGCCGGGATGCGAATTTCGATCTTCCCGTATGCCTAAGCTCTCTATTCCTTCTCAACACACTGATTTTTTTTGTCTAATGCTTTTACCCTTCATGCAATCCGTCTTTGGATTTGGAACGCGCTACCGCTCCATATAAGACAAATTCAGACCAAATTATCTTTCAAGCACATGTTGCTCAAGGATCTGTTCGACAATTGTCAAAATCAAGAATGTATAATGTTGCTTTGTGTATACATGTTATATTATTTATTATTTTAATATACTCCCGAACTTATAATACGAACCACCTCGCAATTTTGTCTTAAAGGGCTAGAATACAAAAGTAGTTTTATCGTCGAAGAAAAAATTTTTCCCCGGTTTTGCAAATTCAAATTTCCAACAAGGATTGAAAACCCGTTTAGTATACTAGTTTCAAAATTACTTAATAGTTTTTGTTCAATCAAACATTGTTTAAGTTTAGGGAATTTAATACTGAAAATGCGAGGTGGCTCGAATGATGTGTCCGAAAGTGTATATATGTAAGTTTATTATGTATATATAATAAGTATGTTTATATTATGTTATTTATTTATACCATATAAATTATCGATAAGCTTTCTGGTATATTGTTCTTCTTGTATAAGTGTAGCACCAACCCATTGTGTTTTTTTTTTCTGTTCGGTCCAAATGTTGACTGGTAGAGAATGCCTCATGGCATTAAGTCCGCCATTTGTACGTCAGTGTATTGTAGAATAAAGTTTAAATAAATAAATAAATAAATTATGTTACTTGCAGTAAATTTATTAAAGCCTCGATATGAACGTTTTACTTTTTGCAGTACAGATAGTGTTAGATGCTTATTGGTGTTACCTTAAATGAGGCAGAAGGTCCTAGGGCGTTGTTGTATAAAATAGTGTACATATCGTTACACCTGTCTCCAACTGGGATAAGCAGAGATCATGAACACATGCTATGCTCCAGACCTATTTTACCATCTCTTTTCGCATCAGTCTCGTCATACATTCCTATTTATATTTGTTAGTTTCGACTTG